GTTATATGAAATTCATTAGTGGTAACATGATATGCTAAGCGGGGCCCTTGATTGCACCTTCTTATTAGTACCCAGAAAGATGTCGATTTGTTTTTTAGTGGTAATATTTTTAAATCTGCCTTGCTGGTAGTGTTTTAATATATTAATTTTATATTTAGTCTAAATGGCTTTGTGAACTTAAATATATATGTAAAAATATTGATAATTAACAATGAGTCAAATTAAAACAAAGTACAGTGAAAGATCAAACGGCCTAATCAAATTCTTTTAAGGTAAAAAGGTTTAATTACTACAGTTTTCCATTGGAAACCATTAACAAAAACTTTCCCTATGATTTAAATATTGCGCAGGCCATACATTGAACCTTTGTCTTACCTAGTGGTAGTATGCACCTCTCTGATCACTTGCAATGAACGCTAGCTTAGCCGTTTTTCCGATTATAATAGAATAAATAAATATGTATGCACTTATATATAATCTCTCGGTATAAAAATCATATTAAAGTTTCCATTAACTCGTTAGCAATACGCTAATTATCATGAAACTGCCACTAAATTATAACGGTTTTTTTCAACAAATTATTTGTTTTGCCAGTTACAGTGTCTTGAAACAACGAATTTGTTTTAGGTCTACATATTTAGTAACTTGAGTGGAAAGTTAAAAAAGCTTGATTAAGGTCTTAGAAGTTATATATATGTACACGTTTTTATTTTAAATAAATTGCTACGTAAATAAATTGCTTAAGTAAATATATTTGTTTTCCTACTAGGTTTTTTAACTACAAAGCTCAAAATTTTTAATTAACTAAAATACTGAAACTTTTACATAAACACTCCGAACAATTTTTCAAAAGAAAATTATATACATAGGTACAGTTTTAGATGACTTTTAAAATACATATAATTTAAGAACTAAACAGAAATCTACGCAACTTATGCGAACAGTCTGATAGTATCTTAACTAACAAATATAAATACTATTTTTTTTTTTACTCTTCATAACAAGATTTTTTATTTCTCTCCTTTGACCGGAATTAATTACATCCAACATGAGAAACAGAAGGGCAGCGAATTCTAGACTAAACTGAGAATAAAGATGTGTTTGATTCGTAGCTTAATTTCCGATTGATGGCAGTGATTCAATATTTTATTAATTTATTTTTGAATTGGATCCGATAATGCTGCACAATATTTCTCTGTCTATCTTCCTAAGATTCCTTCACCTGCGTTTCAAAATAGAGGCGTTCATTTTCGGGGCATTTAAACCCGCTGTTATTTTTACTTACATACATACTATGTATGTACACATATATATGCAGCATTTTACGTGAAATGTCGAGAGTAAAAATGAATATCTCGAATCACGCCTGGGAGACCTGGAAAAATTATTATCGTATTTGGTGGTAATATAACCCGAAAATAATGTTAAGACTTTTTTTTATTTTAAGGGGGACAATTTTATGAACTTTGCTTGTCACCGCCCACTCTTTAATTTTTCCCCGTGGTTTCAGCTTTATAAATGATAACAGTTTTACTTTAAAATAAAGTGCTTTTTCATATTCAATTTTCATCTTTGTATAATTTTCAATAATTTACATGTATGTACATACATATGCGACGTTTTATGTCAAACGGACCACCCGCGTACCAAAACTTTAAATTAAAGGATAAGTCTGTGTATACAATTTGCGAAAATTCAAATTTACATCTTATATGTATCGTCTGCAGATACGTTTGAGGTATACAAATTGCATATACGCCTTCGCCTCTCAATTATTGGGTAAGAAAACGACGCTTTTTTAAAGCTTTCATAAAATTTATCCCCTCAAATTTAAGGAATACAGGTGATCCCATGAATCAATGGTACGAAACGTTCCAAATGTACCATAGAAAAAGGAATAAGGAGATCCATGCTTATTTGTTTTTAGAACTTTTTGAACACATACTTATTATTCCTTGAATAAAGTCAAAGACTCAGAAATGTATTAGTAAACATGAAAATTTCACATAAAAATGCTGCTGTCTTTTGGAGATTCCCTTTTATATCTACTGCCTCTTGCCAATAAGCTTTTTTTTTATTTTTATAAGTAAGAATATCCAAGAATCTAATGGTGATTTCGTTTCTTCCAAAAAATGTTGCCCTTCCCCGGTGCAAAATATGTTTGATGTTACACTCAACCCTGTAAAAGGGCATGTTTTTGCCTTCTTGTCCTTGCCTAGCTCACGCATTTCATAATATTGTCGTTTTAAACAGACATCTGATTTTCAGGGCAACCATCTCCCCTGACAAAGCTTCACAGGGCAGAGAATGACATTTTAAGAAACGAACACAAAATTTTCGCACCCTTTACCACGCTGTGACAAATCACTTTCCCGTAATTGCTTGTTAAATTAAATTATTATTTTTTTTTAATGAAATATGAGCAGAAAATAATGTTACTCATACGCCATGTGTGTACATATCATCACGTTTAATCAAACTTAGTAGGAAACAAGTAATTTTTAGCACAAAAAAAACCGACTTAAAAAAAATATATTTCATGATCCAATGAGAGACGTTACCTTTCCGATGCAAATAGAATTATTGAAATCGGTTGACGTGGTCCAAAGTTATACGGTAACATACAAAAAAAAAAATATATATATATTCCGACGAACTGATAACCTACTCCTTTTTTGGGAGTCGGTTAAAAAACCGCAATTCGGTAGAAATTTTTCGCTCTAAAAAATATATTTCTTCCATCTCGATCCGATGGGCGAGAATCTTTAGTGATATTACACCGTGCAGCAAAAACAAAAAAATTTCAAAACCACGACAGCCGAATCTACATAACCGGAACGATTCAGTTTTATATCTGGCCAAGGACTGTCACTCCAGCAACACTTCCCAAAAACTCTTTGAGGAATTTGTATGCTGTTACAACAACAACATCTATATTCTCACGAAGCTATGGGCGAAATATATTAAAACTGCGTTTTTAGTTTTCCTCTATGATTTTTTAAAAAGAAATTGTAGTTTCAACGATATGATTACTTCCAAAAATTATTTTTAAAAAAATCAGAATTAAAAAAATGGAACTGTTTGGTTCACAAGGACGAATAGGTACCCAAAATGCCCTTTTAAATATTTTTTTTTTTTTGTAAAGCTTATAAAACTAGAAGGATCAAATTCGAAGATGAGGTCAAGTATGTATTAGTCCCTAGCATATAAGGTAAAATTAGCTTAGCTAGCATATAAGTATAAAATTTTGAAATGACATTTTCAATACCTTCTCATCCTTCTGCACCAAAAAATTTGATTTGCTTTAAGTCTACAGAAATTTCCATTTAGTTTTATATTGTTTTTCTAAGTACATTTCACTGAATGTTGTAAACAATTTTTTGAAGAATTCATATTTTTTCAAATTTAAAAGTCCATTTAAAAAATCCTGACGTCACAAAGGAAAACGAAGTTTCACTATATTTGGTCCATGGTTTGGCGAATATATTGATTTTTTGTGTGTAAAATTGACTATCGCCCGTCGCTGTTAGCAGAGAGGCGCTAAAATCAATGATTTTAATTAATGTAAAATTTTTCCTGAAAGTTGAGAGATTTCATTATTGCAATCAACATACTCTACGACCAAGACAGCTATTATTTATCCGTTAAGGAATTGAGGCTACACCTAAAAGGTGCTAGAAGGGCTTGCCTGTTGATGAAACAAAATTTGTTTGCTTTAAGCATTTTTTTTTAATTCAAGCAATATTGTCCTACTCACATAAGAACCTTTCTAATAAGTCAAATGTAGGTATGTATCAGTGCACAAAGCATTATAGTTCCAACTTTTTTCGTAATATACCAGTAACCGTACTAAATCATAAAGTAGTGTAGGCATTGCCTTTAAGAAGAAAAATACTGTGTTAATCCTAAGTAAAATATTTAGTATTTGTGGATATAGTACATAACTAAATTTCCGATAACCCCTTAGTACTTAGCTACTTTTTGTATGTTAATACTTGATATGAATAATCAATGTTCTAAGCTGAGTTGTGAACAACTTTATATAATCATTTAGACGTTTTTAGTGCATTTTTTACTAACATCTAATGCGGCTATTAATACTTATACCATACCTCGATTGCAATATTTGTTTAAATAGATACTAAATACACAAAGAGTAAATATATATGTATCTACATAAATATTTGTGTCTATTGGATATTTTTGTCCCTACTATCGTTGTACATCTACAAAAGTAACAAAATTATTTTATGTCGTCTCATCAACGCTCAATGTTGTTGTAAGTTGTTGCACTGTCTCTGCCTAAGAGACAAAAAACGTTTAAACATAGACGATTAACTGGATCAATTCTTTCAAATCCTTTCTTTTCATTTCCGCTCCACTGAACTGAAAAAAATAAATACAAATTTCTGCGAAAATAAAATTCATGAATGTGCGAATTAAAATATATATTCAAATTGTTTGCTTAAATATGATGGCTGTAACAACGCAAAATGGCGAAAAACCTGTATCTAAATTCATACAAACTTAATACAAACAACCAATTTTAAAATAACGCAAACTTGGATTTTCTGAATGGCTTTCATGGATGATTGCGTATTGCAAACGACAACAATCTCATATATACATACTTAATTGCTGATGCGGTCCTTCATTACAAACAAATCAATCAATCAACCAAAACGCATTGAATCATCAACCACCATCGATATCATCAAACAACAAACAATCTTTACAAATGCATCTGTTTGTTAATTCAAAACATTCATGCCACTCAAATTCATTCGCGCTTGAATAATTGCACTCGAAATAAAAATGAAAAAAAAAATCGCATAACCACCGCTGGCCACATGCCCGACCGTCACACTCGTGCACGATACAAAAAACCCAATCGATTTAATCGAACGCTTACACACGCCCCACCACCACCCCCACACTCACATACGCGATCATCATAATTTAAAACAAAATAAAAAAATAAAAAAATATATGCAAATTAGAAAAGCGCGAAAGTCGCAATAGATCAATAAAAAATTGGCATCGTTTAACCCACGCGCTACGACGGTCCTCCACAGGGCACAATCTCTCACAGACCGATGGGAATAGCACCGAAGACGGCGAGTCAACCAGCGGCGGCGGCCGCAACCCGGCCACCACCGGCGCCGGCTGCTACCGGAACTTCGATCATATGGCCAATCTGAGGAATTCGAATATGACGCATCACGTAAGTTTGACATTCGGGACTCTCAATTATCCCGTTTACAAATGTATGTGTACGTGCGTATGTATGTATGTATGTCCAGCCACCTATGTTGTGTGAGTAAACTACTTATGTATGTATTCAACTAACTTCTTCGTATCTTTTACATGGACTAACTAACATTTGCTTCAAAAATATCTGTGCTGTTTATAACAGTACTGTTTGTGATTATTCATCTATCTTACCATTAAATGCATTGCCATGCAACAACTACCTGTATTTCCCACCTTTATAATGTTGTTTTTTATTCTTTATGGAATTCCATGCCATCTCTAACGCATAGTTTCGTCCATCTGTACCTGACCAGGAATCAGTTCCTCCATATAGTTATGTCGATACTCCGAATGCCCACCTAACGTCCATGACGGCCATGGAGAGCTACAAGCGCGAACAACAACAACGCCAGCTGCAGCAGCAATTGCTACGCGAACAGCGTGAGAAGCTGGAGCAATTGGCGCAGCAGCAGGCGGATACCCTCCTCACCACATCCGTTGCACCCTTACTGAGCACAGCAGCATCAGCAGCGGTTACAACAACAGCCGCCGCTAACACCTTGCCGATAATCACGGCTAATGGCGGTGCGAGTGTGCCAAGCGGAGCCGGTAATGCGGTTGGCTCGGGCTCCAACACCGCGGCGGCGGCAGCAGCCGCAGCAGTGGACGATACTGCTGCCAACTCCTCACAGGCAGGTGATAGCGTGTCGCTGGTGCCATCCGGTCCACGGCCATTGCAAATGATGATAGCACCTGGGGTAAGTGCAGTTGAATTTGTAATTAACACATACAGACATACATGCTACATATTTATAACACAAGCAGTTATGCAGCACTTCACACACATACATATGTACACGTGCAAACACACACTTATTGCGGCTAAGACCTTAATCTCAATGCGCTAATCTCGCATAGCCGAACATTAACCACCAACGAAAAGTAAGCACCCAAATAGCACTCGAGAATGGCGGAAGATGATCTGCTCGAGGGGGAGTTTACTTGTACATTTCCTCCTATTAATATTAAATTAGGTTGTAGTACATCAAAAAGTAGCCTTATCTTTCTTATTTAGTTTAGAAATTAGCCGTTACATATTGAAATGCATTTGAAAAAGTTTTTAAAGCCCAGGCCAAGGCGAATTAGTATAAGGTGATAGCTTTGGCGGCATAAACTGTCAAAATCTGTAAGAGTGTGTGTAGAAATTCAAACAAAATGTTTTAATTTGATATCAGAAGCCGTGCGGCGAAACACATACACAAAATCAGCTGAGCTAGTAACACCACCTTATATAAATTCGCCTTGGCCCATGCACTTCCACTTCCATACACGAGACTCATATGTATGAATTGTCAATTTTTGTAAGAGTTCGAGGTAGTTTTAAACACCAACTGCACGCTTCAAGAATTCCTTTTAAGACCGAATTTCAAAAGAGATGGAGTAATGTCTTCTTTCTTGGTACTTATTAGAAGTTTTTTTCGTTCAAAAGATTTGTCTTTATATTGAAAATATTTCGTTAATGATAAATCATTTATAATTATGAAGCTAACAAAACAGCCACCATATTAAGACCTAAAATAGTCTAGCAATAAGTCTATGCCATAAATGTTAGCCCGCACTATTATAAATATTTAAATCAAGCTTCTATATTCCGAACTAAAATACTAGTTACGTCCTCTGCAAATCGCGCACCTAATCAGAGTCGTATACTCGTTTCCCAATTCTGCAGCATGATACTATTGTGCCGATTGTGCATATCGTCACTAGACACGAATAAAGGCGCGAGCTCAACATTCAAATATACCCTGCAGCAAAATTTAGAGACAGTCTGGCAAAGCGCTAGTTCCGCCCTACAAATTTAAGAACTGTCTCTGAACTACTGCAAAAGGGATGCAGAGCTGGACGGTTGAAACTCAAATGTTGCTAGTTGCGCAGTCATCAATGTTACTCATCCTGGTCATGCGAAAGCTGACAAAAGCTGCACAAATGTACTATACTATATTCTTTCGATTTTTTTAGACCCTAAAACTAATAGCAAAATATAACCATAAAATTTAGTTAAGTTACACTTAACAGCAAAAGTCTGCGTACACCATTTCATTTTTAAATATTCACAATATATTGAGAGTTAAAATTTGTTTGTTATTATTTTATAAAAAAAATTGATCATGTTTAAAACAAAATCACATAAACCGTGTTTTCAAACTTTATGCGAAACAAAGGAAAATTTATCGATTTGTCATCAAAATGTTCGACTTTTCAATCAGATTTAAAAAAAAGATAAACAAAAGTGTGTAGTTATGCAGTGCTTTTTTTTTTAGTTTCCAATGTTTTGCATTTTAAATTGGTTTCAACATGTACATACATATGTGAATATGTATCGCCCATTCGAACATTTATCCTGACGCGCAAGCCTCTTTCTAAGCCTAAGCACTAGGCATAAATCTAAACAACCTAACCTAACCTGATAATATGAAAATACGAATTCTTTGAAGATAAAAAATTAATCCATTTCTTCTAAACAATTGTTGCATTTTTCATACAATTCATTCATTCTCAGGTGCTATTCTGGTGCAAACTTAAAGTTTTAGCATTACAAAAAATGA